TTGATACTCATACAGGATCATCTGATGATATGTTGCTGACTGATCCTGGGCCATATCAAAGGCTCTTAGGGAAGCTACTTTATTTGACCATCACAAGGCCAAACATTTCATTCGCTGTTCAGAGTCTCAGTCAATTCATGCACATTCCTAAAGTTTCTCATATGGAAGTGCACTCAAGGTGGTCAGATATATCAAAAATAGTCCAGGATTGGAGGTCCTTTTGACTGCCCATTGTTCTGAGTCACTCTCAGCATTTTGTGATGCAGATTGGGCTGCATGTCCTAATACACGCAAGTCAGTTAGAGGATACTTTGTTAAGTTTGGTACTTCTTTGATATCTTGGAATTCTAAAAAATAATCTACCATTTCTAGAAGCTCAGCTGAAGCTGAATATCGCAGCCTAGCTTCAACTATTGCAGAGGTTGTGTGGATTCTTGGCCTACTCAAGGAGCTGGGGGTCAAGCATCATTTCCCCCGTGCCTCTCTATTGTGATAGCAAGTCAGTTCTTGCCATTGCTGCCAATCCTGTCTTCCATGAGCGCACAAAACATATTGACATTGTTTGTCATTTCATCCGTGAGAAGAATCAATAGGGCCTCATCTCCACTCTCTATTGTGCTACAACAGAACAAGAAGCTGACATTCTTACTAAAGGACTTGGTCGACCTCAACATGCATACTTGATGTCCAAGCTAGGACTTCAGAACATTTTTCCCAGTCCTAGCTTGAGGGGGGGGGGGGGGGGGTGTGTGTGTGTGTGTAAAGGATGTAGGTTAATCATAGTTAGTTAGTTAACTTAACTAAATTTAGTGTGATAGTTACAACTGGCAAAGATTAGGCAGTTAATTTAATTATATACAGTAGGCCTTGTCTCTTTCATTTTACACTGTACAGAAATAACAGAGCAAAAAATTCTCTCTCTATCAAATTTCTCTCTGCATTCTTCGTCTTTGTTTCTTCTCTTTAGCCGCATGTTGATGACAAATTCATCACTCTGCCCTCCCAGTGTAGGAGTAAGATTGCGTATATCCTACCCTCTCCAGATCACACTTGTGGGATTTCACTGGGTTGTTGTTGTTGTTGACTATAAATTAAGTATAATAAATTAGCATGATTAGGTACAAATAAATTATTTGCATCCCCTACTAATTTCTCCTGTATTGATGAGTCTCATCTTTCATTAGTCCTTTAATCTAGATTAAGTGAAGTTATTAGACTAGCATAGATAGGTCAAACTTAAAAAATATTGCCATGTTGCCTGATTCGGCCAATCAACATCCTAATGATCTAATTTTAATAGTACAGATAGATCATTTGGTCCACCATAGTAGGGATAGATCAAGAATGAATTCAGTTGGCTTTTCAGGTAATAACTAACAAATATTGCTATCAACAATTTGAAAATACATGATGATTAATTAATTATTACTCTTGTAAGCTTTTCAACATATTTGTAAGTTAAAATTATGCTACCGTTTGGCCATAGATCCCAAATTTATTTTGAAAAATCTGATTTGGGTAAAGTTTGGTTTGAAGATGAAAATGTGTTTGGACATACGTTTTCAAAACATATTTTCCAACTTTATTTTGGAAAAACATGTATATAATTCCCAAGTTTTGGGATTTTGGCCCAAAATCAGCTCAATGGAATTTGGGATTTGGCCAAAATATGGGCAAAATTTATGGCCAAACATGAGTTTTGAAAATAAATCCCAAATTTATTTTGGCAAAACTCATAGCCAAACGGGGCCTAGAGTCTATGTGCTATCCTTTCATGCGCTTAGTGATCTAAATAATGTACATTATACTAATCAATTCACCTTTGATTTTTCACGTGAGAACTGGGCATACCTTTTTCCAAAATAACAGATTCTCATCTTACAGTTTAGTTATTCTATGGGAGTATATTCCAAAATAACATGTTCTTACCTTACACTTTTGAATAGCAGCTTGATATAGTAAAAGTTGCTGCATTCTAGAAAGTGCATGATCTAATCCTTGCCCACGAGTAACTCCTCAACAGAAAAAACGATAAATTAAAAGGTTAACCTTTATATCCTAGGAATGATCCCATGATTTTGATAATTATATTCTTATCAACTAAAAAAGTAAATTTTCAAGAATCAAATAATATTTTGATTTTGTAATCGTTTTGACAATATTTGATCAAAGTTGAAAAATTAAAGCATTTGAAGTGAAAAAACAGTATTTGAAAATAGTAGTTGTTTTACATTAATAGTGTAAAGAATTTTGCATTATCAATTCAATTTAATCGATTATAATAGATTATTACTCTATTTTTAGGGTTATCATATCACGTTTGCTCGGATAATTTACTTGTTATTATATGTCAACTTAACATGATGGTAAAAAGTTTAGGACAATACAAAATTGGTCGATCGACCAAAATTAATTATATTCGGTAGCTCAAAAGTACTTAAACACACACGCGCACGCACACATCATATATATAAAATATTTATCATCTGTTATTTTAAGGATTAGATGAAAGTATATATCTCAAAATTTTATACATAACGGTGGTCAAAACTTTTTTTTTTCTTCCCTTCCCGTTTGATTCCCTTTTAATATCCTTTGTTAGAGTTGTTGTTTATTTGAAGACTCGAACCCACGAGACTGAAGTTGTAGGTGAAGAGTGCTGACGATCCGAACAACCCCTCTTGGATAAAACTTGAACTCTTAAAAATAATAAGTTTTGTCCTTTTTTAATATGATGAAGTAATAAAAAATACAATGTTGTGCGCAGTACGTTATATAGGAGCGTCGGTGATAATTGTTCATAGGTCCACTCGAATTTTCTTATTATTTTTTATTTTCTATTAGAGGTGTCCATTTCCACGCTGCCGCTACAAGTTGTCAACTTCCCAGAACCCGCGTAAAATAACAGTCAAAACAACCCCTTTTTTTTCCAAATCCAAAAACTCCATTTTTTGCCATTTCTTTCAATTCTGTAATCTTTACAAGAAAAACCATGTACCGTTCATCTAGTACCACACGAGTATCTGACGAGTTCTTTTCTCCAAATCTCAAATCAACAATTACATCTACTGAAACTGAAGAACTTCCAATTTTCAACCCTCAATCACACGTTGCTAAAAAAGAAAGAAATCGACTCAGATCTGCTGAAAATTCCATTCATCTCATCCCTTTAATATTGCTGCTTTCTGCTTTCATTTTGTGGGTTTTCTCTAGCCCTGGTAATCTTTACTAAAACCCCAAAAAATCTCAGTATCTTCTGTTTTGCTTCTGCTGAATCTGTTTAAAGATTCTTTTTTATGATGTGTAGATTTGGTTTTATTCATGTACAGCTGAATTTTGCCGACCCATTTGGTTATACTTCGTTTTTTTTACTTTGTAATGGAATAATGTGGAAACAAGATGGAGATTGGATGTGAATTTGTAAATGGCATCTTTTGATAGTACAAACAGATCTTTTGCCTATAGAAGAGACATTACGACTCGAGTTTTCTTTTCTTTTCTTCTTTCTCGTTGGTATTTTGGATCATATGGATGCACTTTCATGTTTTTGGGGGTTCTCTGTTGTCTGTATTTAAGATAAAATTGGAGCTTTGTG